CCCTCCAGGCTCTCACACTGCACCAGGTTGACGTAGTCACCTTGCCGGAGCACTCCCGCCTTAAAACCGCGCACCAACCCTTCCAGGTAACCGTTATCCACGTTAAAATACAGCTCGGGGAAAGACGACATGGCGGCCGCCGACGAGAGGGCCGAACTACTTCGGCGTCTCACGTGACACGCTCCCCCAGCCCCGCCCCCGGCGCTCACGTGACGCTGCGCACGGGCGTGTCCCCGCCCCCCTTCCCGTCAGGCAGTGCGAGGGCGGGAAACCCCTGAGGAGATGGCGCTTGGGAGCGGGATGCTGGAGGCCGAGATTCGCGGGGATGGCGGTCACCGGAGCCACCGTCCCCAGCGCCTCATTCCCTTGTGAGGCCTCCTTCATCCCCAGGGAACAGGTTACCTCCCCCCCCCCTCCCCAACCAGTCCCTCACCCGGCGCTAGGCCTGAGGTTCATTTCCAGCACCTCTGAAAGCCCAGCTCTGGGTTTTTAGGGTTTTTCACAGCCTCCACAGACGCATTTTACCCTCTGAATGCACCGTGTGGCATATGGGTTAGTGGTGGAGGAGGTGTAAAGCACTCTGGGCCACCATGATCCATACTGGCAGGAGAAAAACACAAGTAAAGCTCCTAGGGCAGGTGAAATGTCACCTCCTGGGGCACCTCTCCTGCTGAGACACCACTCATCTGGCCAAGAAGGGCCCTGCAGGAGCTGCTCTGGGGAAAAAAAAAAAAAAAAATCTCATTTTATTCTACATGGAGCTGCCCTGGACTCTTGGCTGCGTGGACACAATGCCCACCCGGTTGCAGGTACCAGCACCTTGCTGCTACCCCTCTCCCAAGATCCTAAGCGGACACATTGAACAGTTCCCACTCAGCAATGGCTTTTGCTAACAGCTGCTTTATTAAAAGCTTCAGAGGAGGAGGTGGCAGCACACATGGGCAAGGAGCAGGCAGCCCTGTGGCATGGGCACTAGTTCTTGCCACAGGGGAAACTGGTGCTGATTTTCCTGCAATAGCAAAAAGCATTGAAGAAGCGGCAGTAGCAGGTTGCACAGGGGTCGCAGCAGGGGACCTGATGCCCAAGGCAGGACTCCAGGAGGCGGACACAGCGGCGGGGGGAACGCTCTTCTCGGCCCGCAGCTTGCAGTTCTGTGGAGGATGCCTGCTGGTGAGAGAGGAGGAAGAGGAGAGAAAGAGTGGGTGCTGGACCACTGTGCCAGCAATAAAGAACTGCATGGGAGAGAGCCAAGAGTGGCTGCTGAAACCTGCCTCTGCCAGCAGCGGAAAGCTCTTGTCATGCTCAGCTCTGGGCTCAGCCTGTTGGAAATTGCCACTGAGCACTGTGGGTTCTCTGTGGGCATCACTGCCTCATCCACCATGTCTCAAGGCCTTTATGAACATGTATTTTGAAGCACAGCCTCAACTCCAGTGAATGGTGCCATGTGCCTTCTGCCCAAACAAGGGCACCGGGGGCTGAGCCAGGCAAGACGCAGCACTGCCTGGTGAGCTCCTGCTCTGCACAGAGGCTTCCTGGGCTGCACTTGAATTAAATGGATTGCAGGACTGTGGGCCTGGACCACCCTCCTCTGAGTGCCGGAGCCCCTTGCAGCTCTGGGCAGCCTCAGCTTGTCCCAGCCCTGGCTGCTCCCCAGCAGGTGACAAACAGAGGCTCCCTTCCCAGGCAGCACCATGTTGGGCTCCAAACTGCCCCGGCCCCGGGGGCATGGAGAAGGCTGCTGTAGCCCGAGGCCGCCCCGCTCTTTGGGGTGTCTGTAAGAAAGCTGAGGGAGCGTTACCTGTGGTTCCAGCATGCCGCCTCTCTGCACAAGGTCACCATCGGCTTCTTGGATCTCCAGGGCCATCTGCTCAAACCCCAGCCTGGGGAGAGCTCCTGTGAGATACGGAGAGGCTGAACAAGGAGGCTGCTGGGGGGTCTGCTCTGGTTCTGCTCCCCATGGTTGTGTATGCGCCCCCCAAAAAACCCCCCCACTCCCTGCAGGCCGCCAGGGCAGTGGAAAGGACAAGGCTGCTCTCACAGTGACAGGAGAAACAGCGCTGCTTTAAGGGGATCCCCTGCATCTGACCTCGGGCATGGGATCCCCACTTCTATTTTGCTGGTGGGGGGCAGCAGGAGATCAGGGAGGGCACAGAACTCACCCGCTGGCTCCACAGCCACCTCCTTGACTTTCCGTAGCAGGCTGGGGTAGTGGGCTCTGTCCGCCCCCTCCAGCCCACCGCTTGCCTTCTGCAGGTGGCCGCGGCTGAGGTCGGCAGCGAGGACAGCCTGGATCCCCTGCAGCAGCCCGCAGCACAGCAGCAGCACGTTCAGCATGGTCCTGGGGGGCAACCTGCACAAAAGCGGTTCCAGCCAGTGTCAGCCCACCCACTGGCAGCCTGGCCCCTGCCTCCACCCTGCTGCCATCACCCCCCTGAGCAGCGCCGCGTCAGCGAGGGGCAGCCCCTGCCAGCACAGCCACCACGTGGGGCAGTTTGCTTTCTTGGACTTGAGAGCTATTCTCAGGCCACCACATGCTGGGAAGCTTCACGTGGACCCTCCAAAGCTAACGCACATGCCATGGGGGACCCCACGTGGGCACATTCATGATCTCATTGTGGAGGGGAGTGAGCAGCAGAGGATGGACTGAGATTTGATCATTTTTGTGGCAGTTCAAGGTCTCCCTGCCCCACGCACAGCCTTCAGCAGCCGCCAGACCATTGTGGTGCCGTGCATTCACCACCGGCATGTGTGAGGATGTGGCCAAAACACCCGACATGGCTCCCACCAGGCACTTGCACTCACAGAGTGGGGAAATGCTGCTGGTTTTAAAGACCAGAAGCTAATATTTACCACCTGGTCTGCAGCTGGGCTTGGGTGCATGACCAGGACCTCACAGCCAGCACTGGACTCCTCTGCAACACCTCTGTCTCCCAGTCCTGCTTTTCTCCCCCCACTCTCCAGCTGCCCCATGTTTCCGCACCCAGCCTTATGGGCAGGTTTGCAACACGGCAGGCAGGAGCCCAGGGAACGGGCAGGAGTGACATTACATGGCTGAAACATGAGAGACCTGGAGCAGCTGCAACAGAAATCTCCCCGAAAGTCCCTGGGTAATGACAATCTGCTTTGCTGCAACTCCTTTTGCAACCAAACCAGAGGGTTTGGGCACAATAAATAAGCCTTGATCTGGCAGCCTGAAGCTGTGCCGGCCACTCCACACCTCCCCATCCTCAGCAAAACTGCCCGGCTCTTTGCCAGGAGAGACCCCTCCGTGCCATGGGGATTGCGCCCCAAATGCCCCCAGACCCTTCCCGTTGTAAGCACTGACCTCTCTGAGCGGAGAGGGGACTTGCCGCTTGCTGCTCCACTGAGCTCGCTGGGAACGCCGCTACCGCTCTCTGCCTCGATGTCCTCCTCCCCACATGCTTACTGGAATTTATATTGGCTTTTTATTAATTAAGTACTGCAGCCACATGACTCTGCTAACTACCAGGTAGGTGGGCTTCTCTGGAAACCGGGCTTTGTCTGGACGGAGAGGCAGCCGGTGGTGCGATGCGCGGGAGGGAGGACTTCTTCCTTGGAAAAGAGGAACAGATCCCCACTGGCCCCAAACTCCCAAATTTCTTGGGAATGCTCCCCACCACCCTTCCGGGCCACTTCCCTTTCCAGCCATACCTGAGCAGCACCAGGGCTGCAGCCTGAGGACACCTCCTCATTCCCAGCTAGAGAATAACCAGGCCTACAGGCTCCGTGCCACAGACAGGCCGAGCTTTCTACTGATTGTCAAAGGGAATATTGCCCACCCATGGCTGCTGGTAGCCATAGCCCAGGGCCTCCAGGAGTCCTCCCACTCCTGACCGCTCGCCATCTGCAGATGCTTCAGGCTCCCACTTGGGCTAATTCCATCTCTCGTTCATGTATCCTTTGGAAAACCTGCAGCTCCCCAGAGCCAGGCGCTTCTCGGAGGAGCTCCCTTGCTGCGTCCTGGGCTCGACTCCACCATGGGAAGGAAGGAACTGGCTGCTCGGTTCTCCCTAGCCCCAGCGCTGGCTTTCACAGCCGTCATATGCAGCCCCTCGAGCTTCTTGGGGCAGAGACCTCCAAGGACCGCTCCAGGACCCAAAGGGAGCTGCAGCCAGCCCGGTGCAGTCACGGGGCCAGGGTGGAGGTGGCATCTCGGCAGCTGCTCACTGGCCTGGGCTGCAGAGGACGTGCGTTGTGGATGCAGCATGCCAGCGCTCTGCGTTCTTGCTTTTTCAGCTGAGGGCTTTAAAGCAGTGTTGGCATATGCACACCAGCAGTTGTGCAAAGGGTATAGGGACCTGCGGCTCGGCTACAGCACCCAGCACCCTATCAGGAGAAGGATCCACCCTGACACGCATGGGCCCTTCCATGAGCCAAGAGGTGGTGGGTATGGAGGGTCAGCCAAAACAGGTGGTGGGCGATGCTGCTCACGGAGCCTCCGCAGTCCCCTCCTGTGCCAACAGCAACAGGTCCGAGAGCTGTTCACTAGAAACCCCGCAGCCAGAAGCTGGAAAGGAATCACCTTTCCAGTTGAATCCCCGGATGCGCACAGAGGCATGCCTTGATTCCCCGGGCACCCAGCGTCCCAGGGGCTGCCGATTCCCACCAGCGCCTCCCTCCCCTGCTCCCGAGCCAGCAGCTCAGCCCGGCTCCTGTCAGAAATGCCCTGCTCCTTGGGTGGCTTCAGCCATGGAAATGGGGGGATAAGATGTGAGAGGGGTTCAGTTTCCAGCTGCAGGTGGCTGGGGTGGGGGCAGGACCTGCCGGCCGGCTCCATCCCCCTGGCTCCTCCATCCCCAGCCCCTGGGGGATGAGGTCCCCGGTCCCCAGTCTGCGCTGCCCCCCACTGACGCCAGCCCCCGAGCGGGGCCCTCAGCCCGGCTCATTAGGGCCTGTTTGCAGCCCGCCGGGCCGCAGGCGGAGGGCTTCTGGGAAGGCATTAGCGGTAACGAGGGAGGCCGTGCTGAGAGCTTTTTAATCTGCAGGAGAAACGTCTGCTTTGCCCGCATCCCCACAGCCAGTAACGAGCTAAATGAGGTGGCCGGCCGCTCGCCGCGCCGCTTCCAGGAAAAGAGGGCTCAGCGGTGGGAGGGAACGGGGGGTCAGGGCTGTGCTCCCGGCTCCGTGCTCCCAGCGAGGGTGGGAGCGGGCGATGGAGCGGGTCAGCAGCACGGTGGAGATGCCCAGCAGTGGGTGCTGGGGCAGGAGGGCAGCCTGTCCCGCGGCGGGGCCCTCAGGAGGCAAGCCCGGGCAAGGGGCTCTCTCTGGAAGCAGCCCGGTGGCCGGCTCATTTAGCTTGTTACCGGCCCTCGTT